TTTTAGCTTTGATTTTTATTTTTCAAAGTTGTATGAAGTTAGGGGTGTAATACAATTAGTAACGACAGTATACTGTAAAAAGCTTTATAAAATGATGTCAAAATATGAAAAGTAAACTTTCATAAATTAACACATCATACCCACTTTATAAATAATTCTGCTCATTTATCAGGAAAGAGCCAGGTGCACAAGAACAAGAAGAGGAAGTCAGTGGCACTCCCAGAGATTTGGGAACACCAAGAGAGGTGGCAGCTGCCCTCCACTGCCCCAGTACTTAGCCAGCCCTGCCCAAGCACAAGCCTGCTGCCACCAGGGTGGAGCTTTGAATGCTCTTGCCTCTTTCCCCCCTGATCCCCTTCCCTTTCCACAGAGGCAGCCCCTTCCCAGTGCCAGTCTAGCCAGGCTGCAGCCACATGCCCTGCTTTTAGAAGTGCACTGATACATTGGTCTGATATCAGATCGGTACTGATATAAAGAAAACTTCTGTATCAGATTTCAGCCTGGTAGGATGGATAATCTGGCCAATAAATGCCTGTGCTGCGGAGCCACAGTGCAGTGAGGAACACAGCTGGCAGCATGGAGAGCTGCCTCCAGCTGGTAAGTCTGGTGTGGTAGAAGAGGAGGGGGAAGGGAAGAGATGTGGGGGGGCAGCTCAATGCCCCCCTCAGTGAGGGAGGGGGTAGGGGCTGCCCAGATGGGGTAGGAGGGGCCAGAGCTGCAGCTTCTGGGTGGAGGGAGGTGGCTCCTGCTGCTGCTTGTACTCTGGGAGAGCATGGGGAGCAGTGTGCCCCTTGGATCTGCACAGTGCAAGGTGGGCTGCAACCAGTGCTGCACGGGCTCTTCTTGGTGGGGGCTGGGCTCGGAGCAGGCACCAGTGGTGCTTGGAGGATGCTGCATCCACCCCAAATTTCACTGCCACTCTGCTCCCAGCAACACCAGTGCCAGGCACATGGCACAATACCAGCTCAATGCCCCGCCTCCACCTATGCACAGGGAAGAGCCAGGGCTGCACCAGGTGGCTGGTGGCAGCAGCACTGGGAGCAGAGTGGCAGCAAAATTTGGGGTGGATGTAGCATCCTCCCCCTCCCACCAGCGCCTGCTCCAATCCCAGCCCCTGCTGAAAAAAGCCCCATGCAGTCCCAGCTGCAGGCCACCCCACCCCGCACAGATCCGGGGGTCACATCCCCCGCCCCCCCCGCCGTGGGGGGGGGGGGGGGTTGATCTATGCCCAGGCCCATGCACCCCCTTCCCCATACACCCAACCCCTGCCCCACACACCCCCTGCCCCACACACCCACACCCTTACCCATACACCCACTCCATGCCCCACATCCCCTGCCTGACATGCATGCACTCTTCCCAACACACCCACCTGTGCACGGGGGGAGCTGCTGCCAGTGGGGGAAACACCCGGGGGGCAGATAAGGGCTATGGGTCAGATGTGAGTGTCACTGGCAGGGCTGGGAGGGCCATGGCTTGGGAGTGAGGGGCAATGACATGGGCAGAGGCAGAGCACCATCATGTCAGGCCTGCTAAGTAGAGCTATATGAAGCTTTGGGTGGTGATTCGATTTGGAGGAGATTCAGCCTGATTTGGTGGCTGAATCTCCAAATCCAAATTGAATCAGGGGACCAATTTAAAGGTCTGTATCAATTCAAAGCTCTCTGAAACTTCAGCAAAGATTCAGAGACCTTTGATGATTCGGACAGTCCCTGGTGGCTGCAGCAGGGAACTGCAGCCACTCCAAAATGGTAAGTACTAGGGGCAGGGGGCAGAAAGGTAAGTTATTTCAGTAGCTTTGCCATCAGTTAGAAATTACTATGGGAGCAAGAAGTTTATGAATCAAAGGCATTCTGGGTTCCCAAGGCATGCATGCATTAGTGCTTCAAAAATAGCAAGCTGTCATGCAGGCAAACCAGTTGGTGGCTGCTATGTTTTCAAGGCCCCTAGGCAATCAGATAACATAGGGAGGATGGGCACCTCTTTAAATAAGTACATAGGTTAAATATAAACACAGGGCTGCTTGACTTCTATATTTCCTATAAGCCCCCACGTTTCCTTTCAGGGCAGTGGGGGGCAGCGGGGATTGCCACCCCACCCGGCAGCACCTGCTGAGCCATGGCTTTTTTTTCCCCCCAAGTCCTGGGAGCTGGGGCAGGTGGGGCAGCCATTGCTGGGCTGGGAGAGGGTGGGGGATGGGCCGGGCCTGGCCTGGCTGATTCAGAAATTCAAAGATTCAGCTGAATTGAATCAGGACAGTGATTCGAATCGCCGAATTGAATCACTGTGCCGGGGCACAGTGATTCAGATTCGGATTCGAATCAGCCAAATCCGAATCCAAAGCAAATACTAGCCGCTTCGCACAGGCCTGCTGCTCAGTGCCACAAAGGAGTGGTGGGAACAGCTGCAGCTGGATCTGCATCCTGGCCAGTGACGGGGGTACGGGAAGTTCTGATTTTCCATGATAAGAAAACCAAAATCAAATCCCAATATATATATATAGGTATTTAGAATTTATTTTCTTATAATGGTTGAGGCACTGATAGGCTTCCAAATTGTTTTAAAACTGTAAATATATCAATAAAACATAGTGTTCAACAGATACTTCTGTCTATAGTGGTATTTCATTTTAATCACAGAAAAATCAAAGAATTTTGGATTTTTTAACAGAACAAAACAGGTTCCCTGGATTAGGCCCCAACTAGCTGCTAACAGCTTAATTGATGAGTCATTAGGCTCCCCTTTGTTTTCCTCTTTAACCTCTTCACCCCCTGTCCTTCCATCTCTCTCCACTGTCCAATAATAAGGTAAGGGTTTCCTGTTATAGCCTCCTTTCTATACATTCCAATTATTACCAATGGAAATGTTTTTTTCTGTCAGCCTGTGTGTGGTGAAGTCTCTGTATATCAATATTTACCAATAAAAATCGGATCCTACTAAGCCTACCCATATTCAATAATGATGAAAATGGAATGGGTGCAGAGAAGAGCTATAGGATCAGTGGACTGGAAAACTTATTGTAAGAGAGGTAACTAAAAGAGCTTGGCTTGTTTAGTGAGGCAAAATGAAAATTGAGCAGAGATATGATTGTTTTCTATAAATCCATTCCATGTAACCACCAGGAATATAAAAGAACCATGTAAACTAGATGTTGACACAGAAACAAATGGGTATAATTTCCAATGGGAGTAAAAAAAACCCCATAATTGCTTTTAAGATAAATCACAATCTGTTTATGAAAAGATTTATATGGCATGTCTGCAGGGGACTGGACTTGGTGACCCAGAAAGATCTATCTTCCTATGTTCATTATCAAATTCACTAAGCCATACAAAGAATTTTTCAGAAATGTCCAGAAATAGGCTTTCCTATCTGCATTCACACATACTGTAGCTGATGCAACCAGAGAGGAAATATTACCATCAATGTTCATATCTCATGAAGGAAGCAGCCCCTGGAAATATAATTCTTCCAACACATGGGGGTTTTTTATATAGCTTTCTGTTCCTTTTTAACTAGTGGATGTTCATGTTATCACATCTTTGTGTCTGCAGGTCAAAGACATGCTCTAAAATGTGTCATATTTAATGTAAAACTAGCTTCCCTCAACTTTCTCTTCCCCTTCCTATAGGTATTGATTTTGTCAGGCGTGGGGGTTGACAGAAGTGTTATTCTGGTCCCAAGATTTATACATACATAGATTCATAGATGCTAGGGTCATAAGGGACCTCATCAGATCATTGAGTCTGACCCCCTGCCCTGGGCAGGAAAGAGTGCTGGGGTAAGATGACCCCAGCCAGATGCCCCCAAGGTAGGGGAAAGCACCACCTCCCTTGGAAGCCCATTCCAAATTCTGGCCACCCTTACCATGAAGAAGTTCTTCCTGATGTCCAACCTATATCTGCTCAGCGTCAGTTTGTGAGCATGGTTCCTTGCAGTGGCAGGAGCTGCACTGGTGAACAGAGCATCTCCAATTCCTTGCTGCCCCCACTAATGAATTTGTAGGTGGCCACAAAATCACCTCTCAGCCTTCTCTTTTGGAGGCTGAGGAGGTCGGGTCCCTTAGTAGCTCCTCATAGGGCTTGGCCTGCAAACCCTTAACCATGTGAGTGGCCCTTCTCTGGCCCTTATCCACATTATTATTCTTAAAGTATGGCACCCAAAACTGGACTCAGTACTCCAGTTGCAGTCTGACCAATGCCTTGGATCGGTCTGACTAATGCCCTGCAGGACCCCACTGCTCACATCCTTCTGGGTTGATACCGACCCATCCATGCATCTGCTAATGCATGATAAAGTGCGGTTAGCTTTGTTGATGATTTTGTCACACTGACAACTCATGTTGCTCTTGGAGTCCACTAGGACTCCGAGATCCCTTTCCGCGTCTGTGCTGCTGAGAGGGTCATTCCCCAGCCGGTAAGTGTGCTGGATATTTTTATACCCTAGGTGCAGCACTGCATTTGTCTTTGTTGTGTCCTATTGTGTTCAGCCCACTCTTCCAACCTGTCCAGGTCTGCCTGCAGTCGTTCCCTACCCTCTGGTGTGTTCACTTCACTCCACAATTTAATATCATCTGCAAACTTGGACAGAGTACACCTCACTCCCACATCCAAGTCACTGATGAAGACATTGAAGAGTACAGGTCCAAGGACTGAGCCCTGCGGGACCCCACTGCTCACATCCTTCCAGGTTGATACCGACCCATCCACCACCACTCTCTGGGTGCAACCCCCAAGCCAATTTGCCACCCACCAGACTGTGAAAACATTTAAGTCACAGCCTCTTAATTTATATACGAGAATGGGGTGAGATACCGTATCAAAGGCCTCCCTAAAATCTATCTAGTCATAATGGAGTGACATGATTCCTGAATCTGAAAGGTCTTCTTTATGGAAAAAACACACCCATCTCAATACACATTGTGAGGAGAGGTGGCTTGGTATTTACAGCTGAAATGTATGCCCACAAAAAAGTTTTAAAAAAGACTTCCCAAACACAGGTTCCTGGTTGCATTAGACAGAAATAACGTTTTATTAGAGAATTTTTTTCACCAAAAGGTAGATTATTGTGCATGGTACACCTTAACTCAGATAACAATGATTGAACCCATAGAGCATTGCAGATGGAAAGTGCATAGAGTGTGATAGGCAGGAAGGTGGCCCATCTCAACAGCTGTGATGGTCTCCTAGCGACAGATTGCAGAAGCCATGCTAAGTAACTGTTAGGAGCTTTTCTCCTTGTTCTTTATTCAGGCATGCAGAGAATGTAGACAACACACTTTAACTTTCTCTTTGAACAGTGCTGAGCTGGAGAATCATTAGTATCTCTGGTTAGGATTTTCTTCCATACCCTGTTGAGAGATGGAGGGCACCATTCATTAATTTAGCAATGCAATAAAACCACATTGACAAAAAAAATCCGACAAAAAAAATGGAATTGAGGAAATTAATAGGTTTGTTGTCAATATTCCAGAAGCTTACAAAAGTATTCCAGAGCTATGAAAAAATGGTATTTTAGGGGTGGTCTTGAGAGCAAGAAAGCGCTGGAAAAAAGTTGTAATTGTACTTAAATATTATTGGGGCAACATAATGCTGCATGGTATACATTTACATCATCCAATAAAATAAAAAGGAACCAAATGTGCACATCTAAGGGGAACGTTTGATTCTTGGTTTTCATAGCATAGGAATATGAATGCATTTTATTTTAGAATACAACCCATGAGTCTACCATGCACTGAAGCATCTTCACAAGATTTTGCCTTATCCTCACTTTTCCTATTACCTTTCATTTCTTCTCCCTCTGTTTTGTCTCAGAAAAGCTCCCTCCCCCATTCATCTTTCATCCGAGGTCCATTTTTCATACTCTATGTCTCGGCTAGCAGTGGCATCAGGAACAAGTGGGAGTCAAGAGCCCCCCCAAATTGAATACATCCCCCATGACAGCTTTAGAAACCCCACTTCCATGTCCTAAAGATCCAAACTGACCATCGTTACAAAGACCATGTTCAGACTGAACTTCCACCAGATGGGTTTCCAGGATACCTAGTTAATGGCAGAGTCTGATTAAATTTGGAATTAAGAGTGAATCAGCTGTCTATGAATTATACTGCAACCCAAATGATCTCAAAGTTTTCCTACCAGTCTCTCATTCCTGTTCACGAAGAATGGGATAAAATAGACATGTGATTAGTCCCCTGCCAGAGACTTTCAGCCCAATGAATAAATTGGAACCTGGTCAAACTTACTCAGAAAAGGACAAAAGACACAATTGAACAGTACAATAACCCTTACCATGGCTTTCTCCACGGCTCTTGCAAGACTGGTATTAGGAAGATGAGGAGATGCCATGGGAAGATGAAGAGTAGGAGTGGGAAAATCCACCACCACCTCCTGAAATTTTAACTCCTCCTCCACCACCTCCTCCTATTCCTCCCCCTGAAATAACACAGGAGCCACTGCCTCCACTACCACCACCTCCTCCTATTCCACACCCTCCGATGCTGCCCCCTCCTATGCCTCCTCCAATGCTGCCCCCTCCAATGCCACCTCCTCCTATGCCTCCTCCAATGCAGGTCCCTCCAATGGTCCCCCCTCCAATGCTACCACCTCCTCCTATGCTCCCTCCTCTTATTCCTCCATAAGAAAAGCCACCACCACCTCCTCTTCCTCCTTGTTGGTTTCTGTGAAAGAAGAAAGATAAAAGTGATTGAAACCACACTATCGCTTCATAAAAGGAAAACAATACAGGGAAGATACACAAAAGCCTGGCCAGCATCCCCCTACTTTTCCTCACCCAGCCCACTTACCCTGTAGGATCAGCACAGAGAAAGATGCTGTGACAAAAATCCATGTCTCCCTGGACCTTACAAACCATAGGTTGAATTTACCTGGAGCTGCCTTTCCCATGGTCTGACTAGCTAGGATATTCTTTGCCATATTGGGTCCTGAATTCTGAGGCTCTAATATGTCAGTGGTTACCACATTGGAAAGGCACAAAAGCCAACTCATTTTTATATTTGTGTTAGGACATAGGTCAAGACTAAACAAAACAGGCCAATTGCTTCAGAGAAAATAAGGAATAGCCTGAACCTTCGCAAGGACTCCTCAGGGTGAAACTTGTGTGACAGTCTGGAGAAATGTGGTTATTGTCGATCTGCAATCTTTTTCAATTTCACTGTATCCTTCCTGGTCCTTTTTGGGACCAGAACTGCCAGAATAATGCCAGGAAGACTCTTTACATGGCCTTGGCTGTGCAGCCCAAAGTCGGTAGTGTGGAACTTCGGAAATATTTTCCTTGTGCAATTCCTGTTCCAGTTCCAAAAACCAGGATGGCAAGACACTTTCAGGACCATCTCCAACAACTCTTCCAATCTCAGGACGATTGCTCAGTATAGCCAAGTGACCCCTATTTTTATGTAGATGTTGTGGCTGTAGAGTCTGTTTTGCCAGTCCTGCCCCCTGAGCTTGTTTTTATGTCATCACTAATTTAGCTGCAATTTACACTCAGAATTGACAGAATTAATGCTTCCTAAAGTCATCCAACTCTCAGTCATTTACGTACCCAATGTCTTGCTGTCCTTCCTCAAGCAATGCCCGGTATTGAGCTATCTCCTGTTCCAGGTGGCACTTGATGTCAAGTAGCATCTTGTATTCATAGTTCTGACTCTCTATTTCACATCGGATATTGGCCAGTTCTTCTTCCACAGTGGTAATCGTGTTCTGGATCTGTTGCAGCTGTATGTTATAACGGCGTTCTGTGTCCTCCAAGTTGGATTGCAAGGACTGCACCTGAAAAATGTAAAGAATAGACAGCTTGTGGGCATGTGGTGAATCTTAACTCCCTTTGATGCACAAAGCAATACTTTTCCATAGCAAAATGGAGAAACTCCCTTTGTCAATTTACAGAAGGAATGCTTGAAATATCTGCTGCCTTATCATTCCAGTAACTCATGTGTGCTATGTCTTTTCTGAGAGGCAAAGCAAATGGATATGTCATACCATGCTGAGCTGAGACTGGAGCTCAATTTCCAGTGTCTGATAGTCACGTCTCAGCTCCGAGACCTGGTGGTTGCTTGATTGTATCTCTTGACCACTGGTGTGGACTTCCTGATTAACCTCTTCCATCTGAAAAATGCAAATACAGAATTACATTTTTTAAATTTATTATCATGGTGATTTTTTTATTATAAAACCATCTAGAAAGGCAGTGTATCTGGCTGGAGGAAATTGCAACATGGGGTAGACTGCATATACTTTCTATGCACAGTTCTGGCAAATCAGCAGCACCCTGGCTTGTAATTGTCCCTGGTGATTTGATACAGGGGCTCCACGTACTGTTAACCTTAAATTTAGCTTGCAGCAAACTCCATCATTCCAGCTATGAACAACCTGCACTAAACCATCGGGATAATTTCAAGACGATCATCATTAGCCAATACATACATAATTGACTTCCCTCTATTGCATGCATAATATTGCATACGTGATAAAGTAGGTCAAGTCTTTTTTTGGAAAACATAGCTATATATCAATACTGCAATTTACCTTAGTTTCATACCATCTTTCCACCTCTTTACGGTTGTTTTCAATGATCTGTTCATATTCACATCGCATTTCATTTAGTTTTTGCATCAGATTACTGTCAGGGGTAGTATTGACCTCCACATTGACATCACCACCAGACTGTGACTGCAGTCCTCTCATTTCCTACAACAAAAGTCAAATCCCCAGGGTAAAAAAGGCCTCATTGTGAAATCATACCTGCAGTCATCCCCCTCAGCTCTGGAGGACTATTCACGCTGCCAACATCATTCTTTCTTATGAGGTCTTTCTTCTACTTCTCACAAGATCTTCTCAATCATGTAGAAAGAGCGGAGCTTTCCATCAAACAACACTGAGCTATCACAGACTGTTTGGCTCTACCTCTGCCTCCTGCTGGGTTTTGTGAACACTTTATGTAGGCTTCTCATTGCACAGGTCAGCTTTTGCATTATGACCCACAGAAAGTATTTTCAGAGACTCCCACTAAAGGGCAACTGTCATGGATAGCTCCTTGGGCTTATATATATTACATCCTTTTTTTACTCCATAGTTTTGCCAAGAGCACTGAACATAAGAAATGGACTCCACTCCTTTTCCTGATCTCATATGGTCTTATATTCAAAATGGGCTTCACCTAACCTAATCCAGACACATGCTTAAGTCAGTGAGAGCTATGAGCACTTAACGTCTCTGAAATTTGGAACCAGAATGTCTGAAGTTGGACAACTAGAGGCAGTGGCCAACTTTTAGTTATTCTTATTCAAGAAAGTCCATGGAGAAATGTCTTACCGTGGTATTTTAACTAGTTACTGTTTCAAGGTGGGAGGGATCTTACCTCTTCATGGTTCTTTTTCAGAGAAATCAATTCCTCCTTCAGGGACTCATATTGTGCCTCCAGGTCAGACCTGGCTAAGGTCAGCTGGTCTAATATGGGGCGTAAGCCATTAATATCACCCTCCACATTCTGGCGGAGACTGTATTCAGTTTCATACCTAAACCACAAAGAGAAAAGATAATAAAAGCAATGCTGGAGTGCTCAATTTAGTAGCAATGACATTATCTTTATGAATGGGACATCTTCACCAGTTCATCCATTTCAGCGTTATTTGAATCTCTTTGTTGCATTCTTAATGCATTAGCCCTAACTCTCTTTGCACGTACATTGATTTTTACATTGTTTTAATCCAGTTGGCTTCAGTAGAGTCATTCCTACACTAGTCTGAGCGGTGGAGGCTCATGTCCAGAGCATTCCCTGACCATCCTGCCTACTGGTACAATCAAGAAACAAGGTTTGCTTGTATTGTTTTTTATTGGACTGAATTTGTAGATGGGATAAATATGGATGTCATACTTGAAGATCATGTAAGTGAAACATATCATAAGAAAACACTTTTCTCTCAGGCTTTTACATGTTCCCCCTTCAATGTATACATAACACAGGTATCACCTACCAGTCTCTCCTATCCTCAGAAGCAATTCTTCAAAGTATTTTTGGTTTTGTAACTTTCAAATCACAAAAGTTATCCTAACACCATTGAAACCAGTGAAGTTTCATCTATTTATACCATCTGAAATCTGAACCTAAATCTCCAGTAGCCACTCAAACATATAAGCAAAGTTCAGAGACAGAGAATATAAATCTTGGAAGGCTCCCTTTCAGTGGAAATCTTATAAAATGATAAGAGTTCTGAAAGTGATAATTTTCCCAACAACTGTCTTTCAATATGATCAATATGAATATGGAGTAAGAGACTCCATGGTTTCATGCAGGCTGATGTGAAGGGGAAAAGACAGAAGCAGATGGGTTTGACATGGTGGAGAGATATACTCACTTAATTCTAAAGTCATCAGCAGTCATCCTAGTGTTATCAATGTCCAGAAGGACCTTGTTAAGATCCACAGTTGCAGAAATAATCTGAAAAAGAGGTCACACATTATATTCATCCCTGTGGCTTCTTCAGACTGACATAGAGAAAGAAGGAAACAACAAGGACATATGTATGGAGTCCTTAATAACATTGTAAGAATCGGATTTGTGGACACTCCCACAGTCAGTTAGGGTAATAGGAAAACATAATGCCCCATGCACAGGAATGGAGGCAAAGTGACAATTGATCACAAAGGTCTTTGAAGTGTACATCACACAATGTGGTTTGTTAATCCAGAAATTATGTCTAGTAGGTGTCTTTTGCTACACCCTTAGATATCTGCCCAATTTAGCCAAGTTATGAGCCTCTGAATACCTCAGTCTGCATAAGCTCAGGACATAGTTCATAGACTTTGTCTATTCAATGCAGTAAAGATTATCATTCTATCTGTGCTGGAAACCTTAATTCAGATATTTCTTAATTTTTAAGAGTTTGTTCAAGCACTGTAGGATTTGTAGAATATTATGCCTGCTATCTCCTGAGAGATCTGAGCCAGGTCTCAAAGGAAACCCCTGATCATGCTTAGAGTTTTGGAGGTTTTTGAAATAGCTCCTACCTGATTTTGAAGGTCTTCAATTGGTCCATAATACTGGCTGTAGTCTCTTCCACATTGAGGACCGTGGTTCTGATACCACTCCCTGATTAGACGTTCAAGGTTAGCGTTTTCTTCCTCCAAATGTCGCACCTTGTCCAAGTAAGATGCCAGGCGTTCGTTAAGGTTCTGCATGGTCATCTTTTCATTGTTGGAAAGGAAGCCAGTATCATCACCGCCAAAACTACCGCCACTAAATCCACCACCGCCAAAACTACCACCACTAAAGCCACCACCGCCAAAACTACCACCACTAAAGCCACCACCGCCAAAACTACCACCACTAAAGCCACCACCGCCAAAACTACCACCACTAAAGCCACCACCGCCAAAACTACCACCACTAAAGCCACCACCGCCAAAACTACCACCACTAAAGCCACCACCGCCAAAACTACCACCACTAAAGCCACCACCGCCAAAACTACCACCACTAAAGCCACCACCGCCAAAACTACCACCACTAAAGCCACCACCGCCAAAACTACCACCACTAAAGCCACCACCGCCAAAACTACCACCACTAAAGCCACCACCGCCAAAACTACCACCACTAAAGCCACCACCGCCAAAACTACCACCACTAAAGCCACCACCGCCAAAACTACCACCACTAAAGCCACCACCGCCAAAACTACCACCACTAAAGCCACCACCGCCAAAACTACCACCACTAAAGCCACCACCGCCAAAACTACCACCACTAAAGCCACCACCGCCAAAACTACCACCACTAAAGCCACCACCGCCAAAACTACCACCACTAAAGCCACCACCGCCAAAACTACCACCACTAAAGCCACCACCGCCAAAACTACCACCACTAAAGCCACCACCGCCAAAACTACCACCACTAAAGCCACCACCGCCAAAACTACCACCACTAAAGCCACCACCGCCAAAACTACCACCACTAAAGCCACCACCGCCAAAACTACCACCACTAAAGCCACCACCGCCAAAACTACCACCACTAAAGCCACCACCGCCAAAACTACCACCACTAAAGCCACCACTGCCTCCAAAGCCGCATGGACCAAGGCCACCTCCATAACCACCGCCAAATCCTGCACCACCACCTCCAAATCCTCCAGCACCACCACCATATCCCCCACAGATACCACCACCACTTGGTCCAAAGCTTCCCCCACTTATTCGCCCTCCATAACAGGAACGGCTAATCCTTCCACAACTGCCACTGCTAAATCCCCCTCCATAACTGCTCCTAGAACCTCCACCACTGTAGCTTCGACCAGAGAAGCCTCCTCCACCACCGCTTCTTCCAGAGGAAGTATATTTCCTAGAAGAGACTGAGGAGTACCCAACACATCTTCTTCCTCCTCCACCACCACCACCACCACCCCCACCACTAATAATTCTAGAAGAGCTAGATGAAGACTTAATGCCACAACTCATAGTGGCAGAAGTCAAGAGTCTAGCCTAAAGCCCAAGTTTAGTAGCACAGCCTGAAAAGGACTCAGACTGCAAACCCGAATTCCAATGAGATTCTATTTATACCTTGCACAGTAGGTGTCTCCTTCAAGGTGTTTCTTTCCCCCAGGGCATTTGCAACTTTATTGTTTATGCCAAGAAGAATTTGCTGAAGAGAAATTTTAGAACTATATCTCAAACAATCAAGGGAATCGCTGAGGGTTTTTTTTTCTCGGTGTGTGTTGTTTGTTTAAGACAAGCCATGTTATTTCCATTGGGTGGCTCTGTGTTAATTAAGATGTTTTGTGTTAGACAGTGCATTGCCTCATCCCATTTGTGTCCACTTCATTATGGCAAGAAGCCGTCCATAGTACAGGGCACTGCATTGAGAGAGAAGGTTCTTTTTCTCAGCTCCCATTTCCGTATATGAAAAACAGAAAATGAACCCTAAATCCCTCACCTTTAGGTTGGCTATCTACTCATTATCCATTTTGTTGTTTCTCAATATTGTCGTTATGCACTGACAGATATTCTTTTTTATATATTTCCATTTTCTATACACTCCATCTCTTTTTTCTGTTCACATTTTTGTCTCACTAGGACAAATCCTGCAATATATTTTTATCACTGACCCTGTTTAACATGTCTATTTACGTTGCGCTTTCCTCCAAGAAGTTCAGTACCAAAAGGAAACATTGTACACATCAGAAATACATCCCAAGAGCTACATAAAGATTGTTTTAAAAATGAGCAAGTTTCTTTAATGAAGACCACTCTGCAAAAGTACATGAAAGAGCAGTACTAAAAACTTCACAGGGTAAACTATTACCATTCCTTTGTAGCAAAGAGTTCTTACATGTGAAATCATAACAAAATCACCTGTACTATAGTTTTACTGTAGCTTTTACAGTCGTGAGATGAAAATCTGTAGTAAGTCAAAGAATGTGCATTAAACCACAGTATAGAGAGAATTTGGTTTGGCTCAAAACAGTTCATTCAGTGTATTGTTTCAGTGCTAGATACTCTTGTTGAGACTCTGAAATAGTATCCCAAAGGAAAAATACTTTATGGAGCAACCTCCCTGGCCCCAAGGGGTATGGACAAAACAGACATTTTCATCGTAAATTTCTAAATTATTTGCTAATGCAGGGCATGTGCAGAGAGCAAACACTACTCTTTTTGCACAGACAGTTTGGAGATGAGCAGATTTCATAAGATATCTGAAAGACAATTCAGAATGCTGAGTATCACAGTTTGCTTGAAAGCAACCTCTAAAGCTTTTGTGGTTCACCAGTAAGCAGTTGTTGTCATCTGCCTCACAAATGAATTAAAGCTCACAGGATTACTGTGGTTTGGGAGCTTGTAGCATTCTTGAGAATACCACAATGTTTCTTTCACAAAATTGGTCTTGTTGAGCGCTATTGAGTTGTCTTTACAACCTGTGTTATTTTGTTATGGCCACTGTAGGACGTGGTAATCTGGGAGTTAGCCATTGGTGTGGTCATGACATTTTCATTCCCTCCTCTCCCCACCCATCATGCGCACCTGCAATGAGTGCAGAGGGACACCCATAGGCTATTGTCATCAATGGTCCATTGCGTCAACAATTTCATGTGTGCAGAGGAATTGTAGGTGGCTGCCCAATTCGTTTCTATCTGCAAATTTTGCCATGCCTGTGCAAACTGATTGCTTTGTGGCTATTCCTTCTCACACATTACTATTGCAATATGCATGTTTCCAGATATCTCTCTCTTCCTTTCTGCCCTGTTTTACTTCATTTAAAACCTATTGTACAACATTTTCTTGAAGAGCCCACTGGGTTTCATCTGCTTCCCTTATTGTCCAATAAAACTTTGCTGTTGCATTGCAAACATTACTTTGATTGCAGTATATGCAACTTCTTTGCCAAAGCTCACTCTTCATGATTTTATCTTAACATCTGATATGCACAATAGTTTGAAGGTTATGAAATATCCTAAGCCTTTTAATGAGGTCATAACTTGTCGTTTTCTTCACAGCTGTAGTGCTAGGTGGCATCACTTCTGCAGAGTGAACGTAGGTTTCATTCTTTAGCAGGCTTCCCTGTAGCTAGCGCATTTAATATAGTCTTATTTAATAGGCCTATGTGAAGCGGCTAGTATTTGCTTTGGATTCAGATTCGGCCGATTCGGGGGACAGTGATTCGATTTGGTGATTTGAATCACTGTCCCAAATCTATTCGGCCAAATCTTATTCAGAGATTTGGCTGCTGCTGAATGTCTTAATCACCCAGGCTCGCCGCCCCCCACCCCAATCGCTGCTCCGTCCACCCCAGCTCCTGGCGCTTGGGAAAAAAAAAGCCCCAACTCAGTGGGTGCTGCTGGGCCAGGGGTGGGGGTGATCCCTGCTGCCCCCTACTGCCCTACACTGTGTGGGGGGCTCTGCATGAATCCTCCAACCCCCCCCCCCCCCCCCCCCCCCTCTCCCTCAGACCCTCCCAAGGCTGCCCCTCCTGCTGCAGCTCTGGCCCTTTAAGAAAAATAAATGAGAAAAGCCCTGGACTCACCATTCCTGCAGGCGGGGGCGATCACCGCTGCCCCCACCACATGGAGGGCTCTTCCATGAGCCCCCTGAAGCCCTGTACCTGCTGCAGAAGCAGTGAGTCCCAGGGCTTTTCTCAGGTTTTTTTTTTCTTAAAGGGCTACAGCTGGCCTGGGGGGGCACCGGTGGGGGGCTGGGGGAGCAGGAGGCTCATGGCAGAGCCCCACATGCAGTGTTGGGCAGCGTGCTTTGCCCACCACCCCACAGCACCCCATGAGTCCGGACTTTTCTTTAAAGCACCAGGAGCTGGGGTGGGCAGGGCAGCCATGGGAGGGCTGGTGGGGTCATGGGATAGCAAGGAAGGGATGAGGCCTGGCAGCATCCCCTCTCTTGTTCCCTACTTTCTTTAAAGGGCCAGAAGAGTGGGCGGGCGGGGCAGCCATGGGGGAGCTGGAGGTTGGTGGGGCTGGGGGAGTGGGGGAGCTTGGGGGGCTAGCAGGGGTCCCGTCATGGTC